ATACCTAGAAGTGGAATTGCTGGTTCATATGATCATTCTGTTTAACTCTTTGAGGAACTGCTAAATTGTTTTCCACGGTAGCTGAACCATTTTACATTCCCACCAGCAATGTATGAGGGTTCTGATTTCTCCACATCCTCACCAACTTTTTATTTTTCTTTTTTTTTAATTAAAGCCATCCTAGTGGGTGTGAGGTAGGACCTCATTGTGGTTTTCATTTGCATTTCCCTAAAGGCTAACGAATAATGATGTCTCTATACATTTATCAGATATATAATTTGCAAATATCTCTCCCATTTTGCAGGTTGTCTTTTCACTTTCTTGATGCATAAAAGTTTTTAATTTTGATAAAGTGTAACTTATTTTTTTTATTGCTCTTGCTTTGGGTGTCATGCCTAAGTATTCATTGCCAAACTGGAGATCATGAAGGTTTACCCCTGTGTTTTCTTCTAAGAGTTTTATGGGTTTAGTTCTTATATTTAGGTGTTTGGTCCATTTTGAGTTAATTTTTATATATGGTGAGAAGTAGGGGTCCAGCTTCATTATTTTGCATGTGGTTATCCAGCTGTTCAAGCATCATTTGTTGAAAAGACTGTCCTTTCTCCATTGAATGATCTGGATATTCTGTTGAAAATCAATTGACCATAAATATGAGTGTTTATTTCTGGACTCTCAATCCTGTAACATTGGTCTATATGTGTAACCTTATGCCAGTACCACAGTGTTTTGACTACTGTAGCTCTGTAGTAAGTTTTGAAATTGGGAAGTGTGATTCCTCTTATTTTGTTCTTTATTCAAGATTGATTTGGCTATTTAAAGTCCCATACAATTTCATATGAATTTTGGGATTAGCTTGTCCATTTCTACAAAAAAGTCAATTGGAATTTTGATAGAAATCACATAGGATTTTACAAATTAATTTGGGAAATAGTGCCATCTTAATATTGAGTATTGTACTCTATGAACGTGAGATTTCATTCTATTTATTTAGGTCTTTAGTTTCTTTTAACAGTGTTTTGTAGCTTTTAATGCACATGTCTTTACACTTGGTCAAATTTATTCCTAAAAGTTTTGTTGTTTTTGTTGCTATTATAAATGGAATTGTTTTCTTATTTTTCTCTTTATATTGATCATTGCTAGTGTATAGAAATACAACTGATTTTCACATTTTGATCTTGTATCCTACAACTTTGCTGAACTTATTTATTAGCTCTAATAGTTTCTTTTTTTTTTTGGTGTGGATTCTTGAGGGTTTTCTGTATATAAGATCGTGTCATCTGTGAATAGAGATAGTTGTATGTTTTCTTTTCCAATCTGGATGATTTCTTTTTCTTGACTAATTGCCTTGGCTAGAACTTCCACTATAATGTTGGATAGAAGTGTTGAGAGTGGATATCCTTGTCTTGTTGCTGATTCTAGGTAAAAACCTTTCAGTCTTTTACCTTTAGATACAATGCCAATTGCAGGTTTTTCACAGGTGCCCTTTATTTGGTTGAGGAAATTCCCTTTTTTTCCCCCTAGGAATTTAACAGATAAGACCAAAATAAACCATCTGAATGCTGAAAAAATCCAATAGAGTAAGCCATTCTCACTTAAAAACAGAGAGTGTACTCTGGTGGGGTAAACAGAAAACAAGGATAGAATTTATCTCTGGGGCCAATGGGAAATTCCCTTCTATTCCTAGTTTATTGAGTGTTTTTTATCACAAAATGCTGTGGACTTTTGTCAGATGCCTTTTCTGCATCTATTGAGATGATCATGTGGTTTTTTCCACTTCATTCTGTTAGTATGGGATATTACATTGATTGATTTTTATTATGTTGAGCCACCCTTGCATTCCTGGGATAAGCTCCTCTTGGTCATGGTCAGTACTAATATGCTGCTGGATTTGGTTTGCTATTGTTTTGTTGAGGACTTTGGCTCTATATTCATAAGGGTTATAGTTCTATAGTTTTCTTATGATGTATTTGTCTGAGTTTGGTATTAGTGTACTCTTGGCCTCAAAGAATGGATTAGGAAGTGTATTCCCTTCTCTTGTGTATTTTTTTTTTCTTGAAAAGTTTAGATGAATTGGTTCTTGTTTAAACATTTGGTAAAATTCACCAACGAAGACTTCTGTACTGGAATTTTCATTGTGGAAAGTTTTTTGATTACTGATTCAATCTCTTGTTAGAGGTCTAGGTATAGACAGATTTTCTATTTCTTCTTTTGGTAGTTTGTTAATAGGAAGTTATCCATTTCATCTAGGTTATTTAATTTATTGGATTATAATTGTTCAAGGAATTCCTTAATAATCCTTTTTATTTCTGTAAGGTTGATAGTAATATTCTCTCTTTAATTCCTGAATTTAGTAATTTGGGTCTTCTCTCTTTTTATCTTGGTCAGTCTGTGAACAGTTTATGAATTTTGTTGATGTTTTAAAAGAATTTTTTGGTTTTGTTGATTTTTCTCTATTGTTTTTCTATTCTCTATTTCATTTATTTCTGCTATAATCCTTAGTATTTTCTTCCTCTGCTTGTTTTAGGTTAGTTTGCTCTTCTTCTTCTAGTTTATTTTTTTAAATTGTTATTTAGTTTTTATTTCATAATCATAAACTTTGCAATCCAGCTAGATGTGGAGGGGAATAAGGAAAATATGGGACCCAAAGAACTGCAGCAAGAGCACAAAGATTATAGGGTATTTCCAGCAAATGTGGGGGAGGGATACTCTCTTAAGCTGCAGGAGGAATGGTCTGGTGGTTACGATAAAGCACAAGTCACATTTGAGTTGCCCACATTTGGCACTGGTGATCATCTTGCTGATCTTGCCATTCCTGGACCAAAGTGCTCCATGGCTTCTACGAGGTTCATGCCCTCTTGCACCTTCGAAGACCACATGCTTGCTATCTAGCTGCTCAGTCTTGGCAGTGTAGATGAAAAACTGAGAACCATTTTTATTAGGTCCAGAATTTACCATGGACAAGATGCCAGGACCTACATGATTCAGGATGAAGTTCTCATTGTCAAATTTCTCTCTATGGATGGACTTGCTGCCAGTGCCATTATGGTATGTGAAGTCACCACCCTGGCACGTGAGCCCTGGAATGATTCTGTGAGAGCAGGAACCCTTATAACCAAATCCTTTCTCTCCAGTGTTCAGAGCATGAAAGTTTTCTGTTGTCTTTGGGACTTTGTCTATAAACAGCTCAAAGGAGATGCAGCCCAAGGGTTTGCCTTTGATGACGATGTCAGATAACACGGTGGAGTTGACCATGGCTGGCAGTGGTGGATGGCTCTGGATGGTGATGGCATCTGCTTCTAGTTTCTTAATGTGAAAGTTCAGGTTATTGATTTGAGATTTTTCTTTTTTTAATATAGGCATTTACAACTATAAATTTTCTTCTGAGCACTGCTTTCATGGCAATGCATAAGTTTTGGTATGTTGTGTTTTCATGTTTGTTCATCTCAAAGTATTTTATAATTTCTTTGACCTATTGTTTAGGAGTGTGTTAATTTTCATATAATTGTGAATTTTCTAAATGCCCTTCTATTTTTATTCTGTTATGGTTGAACACAATTTATATGATTTCAGTCTTTTTAAGTTTGAGACTTGTTTTGTCACCTATATATGGTCTACTTTGGAGAATGTTTCATGAGCACTTGAGTAGAATGTGGATTCTGTTATCACTGGGTGGTGTGTTCTATAAGTGTATATTGGATCTAATTGGTTTATAGAGTTGTTCAATTCTTATATTTCCATTTTGATCTGCCTAATTGTTCCTTTTATGATTGAAAAGAGGGTATTGACATCTCCAACTCGTACATTGAATTGTCTGTTCACTTCAATTTGGTCTTTTTTTGCTTCATGTAATTTGGGGCTCTGTTAGGTGTACGTGTATTTAAAATTATATTTTCCTCTTGGATTAACTCTTTCGTTATTATAATCATTATAAAATGTCACTCTGACTCTGGCAACAATTTTTTTTAAGGTTAACTTTATCTCTCTTATGGTCGTTGTTTTCATAGTATGCCTTTTTCCATCCTTTTACTTTCAGCTTATTTCTATTTTTTTTTAGAGATGAGGTCTTGCTGTGGTGCCCAGGATGGAGTTTGGTGGCTATTCACAGGTGCAATTACAGTGCGCTACAGCCTCGAATTCCTGGGTTCAAGCAATCCTTCTGCCTCAGCCTCCTGAGTAGCTGGGACTGCAGACGAGTGCCACTGCACCTAGCCTCAACTTATTTTTATTTTTCATGTTTGTTTTTTCAGTAGTCAGTAACTGAGTACTTGGTGTATACAAAGTTAAACCTGTTTCATCTCTGCCTTTCCCATTCCTTAAATCTTCCTTCTACCTAATACTTCCTATGGTAGGAACACATACAACATAGTCTTGATGTTTACAAAAAGAAACCTTTGGAAAACTCATGCACGTAGTGTAATTCTTGTGAAAGATATCCATAATTTTAAAGGAATACTGTTGAGCCCAAAGACCTAATATTTATAATAGTAACCACACTTATATAAAATATTATGTGTATTATAACCACTTTCAGCTTATGATCTACTTCCATATTCCACTAGGAATACTACCTGAGTCCATTCCTCAGCAGTACTATCTATGGTTAAAGTGCCAGGTTGATATTTGTGGAACCAAGGCTCGGAGCTCTCAAGGATCATCATGCCCAAGCTGTGGAACTCCCTGGACCATGAGGTCATCTCCAGCAGATCTGGGCTCAAGCCCTAGCTCCACTAATCACCAGGTCATATGCAGGACCACGTCCACCTCACCATCCTCGTCCTCTGAAGAAGAAAATTGAGTAGAACCCATCTCACTTAAACCTATATCATTTTGTTGTCATTCTAAGTATGATTTGTCGGAGGCCCTAGCTAGAGGAGCCTCAAGGACTAAAGCAAAGACATTCTACTTGTGATGTGACTTCCCCAAGTCGTGAAGTAGCTGCTATATTTTGTTACTAAATGTGCTCCCCTTGCTGTCCTTCCTGTCCTTCCTCTCCCTTTTAGAGAGATGGGACCATATCACCACCACCACAACCAAGAGGCCAGGAACTACAAGAGCTCCAGCAAATCCTGCAGGTAACATGGCTGCCCTGAGGAGGGCAATAAGGGAGGACCCCATGTAGCTCCCTCTGAGGCAGCATCCAAGTGAGCTCCCTCTAGTTTTAAGCCCCATGTGTGCAAAGCCAACCAAGGTTTCAATCCAAACACTGGATTTAACTTAATAGGGTGCATATCTGGCTGATCATTATGTCTTCTGTGTTTTTTATGAAAACTCCTGTCTAGGACAATTTCAAGAGGAAAATGTATTTGGACTACTTTACCTTTTCAACCATTTCATACTCTAAAATCAGGAAAGATAATAGAGGTTTTATGAAGCCCATCAAACATTTTCTTTAGGAAGATGGGACATTTTGGAATGACATTTATTTTACACTATCATCTTTCAGTAAAGGATTTCGGAACTCAGTGCTTCTTTACAACTAATTCCTGTAGTTGTTTGAGCCTTTCTTCAGATGGGCTATTTTACCATTCAGGCATCTTCGCTGACATAAAGAAAAACTTGGCCCTGGGGTTGGTGCCCCTGTCATTGGTCTAATCCCGCAACCTGTTACCAGTACTTTAGGGGCATGCTGATACATTCGCTGCAGCAGAGAGTTAATTTCCTTCTGAAGAGACAGCGATGACCCAACAGAGTCACTGTCACTTTATGATTTGTCTGCATTTCTTCACATTTCCACATTCAAAGGGACGTTTTGTGACCCATGTGGATTCCCTTTTGATTGCCCAGTTTATGGGCTCTGTGCACCTGGTTTTGAATTTTGGGTTAATACTTGCAATCAGTGAGTATACTGTTAAAAATGTTCTGACTACTGGCCTAAACAAAGCATAGTTAGGAATATAAATTAATTAAAAAACTGGTAGTATACCACAATGTCAGAAAGCAGTAACTTGCTCCATCCTGTATGTGTTTTCATTATCAATGTCCGTACACAGAGTTGGATTCCAATTTATGTTTTTGTCTTAACCCATTGTTCTGATCAGACGAACCCATGGACATTTTGGTTTTTTGGAATCTTGTACCCAGTTGTTAATCAGTTGGCTATTTCCTTTGTGTTTTGGGGCCCACTGAAGGTAGTGAATTTGACTTGGCTGATGCTTTGGGTGATCGAGATGATGGCCGCAGGAAACCGAGTGCAGGAGGAAGAGGTAAGTCCTGGCTGGCTGAAACCACCGGGCAGCTCTGCAGCTCCCTGGTTGGGTCCTGTCTCGTTAACTACAACAGCCCACAGAGCCACCCTGGGCCTGGCAGAGCTCAGGGCACTTCCAGCCACAGGAGAACCTGAAAACAGTGGTTCTCGAACTTTTTGGTCTCTGGACTCCCCAAATCATTGAGGATCTCAAGAGCTTTTGTTTATGTGGGTCACTTCTCTCGATATTTACCATCTTAGGACTTAAAACTGAAAAACTTTCAACATTTGTTAATCTAAAATGAACAGCACTAAACCTACGCTCTTAACATAAAATATTTTTATGAGAAATAAGTGTGCTTGGCAAGACAAAAGCAAAATCTAGCGAGAAGAGTGGCATTATTTTCGATTTTTGCAAATTTCTCTCATGTCTGGCTGGATAGACGACAGGTGGATTCTCACGTCCACTTCTCTGTTCGGTTGTGAGATGATGTTTTGGTTGAAGTATATGAAGAAAATCTGGCCTCACACCCATATGCAGTGGGGGAAGGGAGGAATATTTTAATAGACTTTTTGGATGATTGTGGACGTTCTTTGATAGGACAGCAAAACTCAACCAGTGGCTGTTTCTTACAGGTTAAGTACAGTGTGGAACGTGCAACTCTATCAGTGAACTTTCCGCACTTGGTTCCACGGGACTCTGTAGCGCTTTCAATGTGTCTTTTTACCCATTCATGGTTTTGTAACGTTGTGCACCAGTCACTCGGAAAAATATTGGTATCCTGAGGTTTTTTTGAGCTTCCGAGTAAGCCACATTTCATTATGCAAAACCAAAAGTCACATGTATTCACGTCATGACCCATCTCATTAGAAGAAGTCTGTAAGTATTGGGAAGCTGTTAAACTCACAGTGGTGGATATAGGTTTTTCAAAATTCTAATTTTTACTTGAAATCTTATCATTGGCAACAGATGCTATCAGTGGTTTTCCTTGATGAACTCATTTCATTTTCAAGACAATATCTGCCAAATATTCAAGTTGGCAAAACTATAGTTTTGAAAAAGTTTAAATATTTATTAATTACTCTTCAATTCACTGTTTCAAGGAAAAATCTGTGAGAGGAGTGACTAAATCTGCTCAAATGGCAATAATTACACAAGTGGTTTTTCTGTGTGTCAACCTTTGTATTTCGATGTGCTGTATAAAAGCTTCAAATGTATTTAGTGTTTTATCAGTGAATATTAAAAAGCCATGCTTTAATAAAACTAATAAATTTTCTATTTCTTTTAGTTTCCCAGTGCTGCTGAGTATATTATCATAAACTTAGCAGCTTAAAATAATATTCAGTTATTTTCTAAGTTTCCCTGCACTGCTGAAGTTCAGCCATTTAAGTATCAAAACTTTTTTGACAAAATGTCCCTTGTTTCTCAACTCTCTCTTTACATAATTCTTAAAAATTAAACTTTTATTTTTAGATAATCATAGATTCACATGTATTTGTAAGAAATAATACAGAGCGATCCCTTGTACCTTTCATGTGGTTTCCCCTAATGGCAACATCTTGTCAACTGTACTATACTGTCACAACCATATATTGACATTGATATAATCTACCCGTTTTGTTCCAATTTCCCAGTTTTGTTTGTATTCACTGATATGTGTATTTTCTGCAATTTCATCACATGCATAGGTTTGTGTACCCACCATGATAGTCAGATACAGAATAGTTCCATCACCGTAAGTATCTTGTGATCACATTTTATAACCACACCAACCTGCCTACAGTGTTGTCCCCCTCTTTCATCCCTTCCCTAACCCCTGGCAACCATTAATCTATTTTGCATTTGTAAACTATTGTCATTTCAAGACTATTATATAAATGTAATCATAAAGTAGGCAGTCTTTTGGAATTGGCATTTTTTGTGCAGCATAATTCAGTTTCCATCTAAGATGTTGGGTATATCAATTTTTTATTCATTGTTACTGCCGAGGGGTAGTCCAGGGTATGGATGTACCACAGTTTATTTACTTCGCATGTTGAAGTCGTTGCCAGTTTTTGGCTATTATGAATAAAGCCCCTAGGAACTCTTATAGTTTTTTATGTGTGAACATAAATTTTTCTTTCTTCAGGAATAAATGCCAAAGAGTACAATGGCTGGATCATATGGTAGTTACATGTTTAGTTTTATAAGAAGTGGCCAAACTTCTCCAGGAAGGTTGTAATATTTTACATTCCCTCAAGTGTCGTATGAGTAATCCAGTTGTTTCACCGGCATTTAATGTTGTCACTATTTTGCACTTTAGCCATTTTGATAAGTGTGTGGTGATACCTTATTGCGGTTTTCATTTGTATTTCTCTGGCTGATGATATTGAAGATCTTTTCATATGCTTATTTGCTATCTGTGTATCCTTTTGGTAGAATGTCTGTTCATGTCTTTGGTCCATTTTCTAATTGAATTTTTGGGTTTTTTTATGGTTGAGTTTGAGAGTTCTTTAGCTATTCTAGACACTAGTCCTTTGTCAGATAACATGGTTTGCAAACATTTTCCTTCATTCTCTAGGCTGTCTTTTTGCCCTTTTAACAAGGTCTTTTGTAGAGCAAAAGTTTTTAATTTTGATGATATCCGGTTCATCAATTTTTCCTTTTATGGATCATGCTTTTGATGCGAAGTCTAAGAATTCTTTGCCTATACCTAGGTTCCATATGTTTTTTTCCTAGAATTGACTTTTGCCTATGAATGTCTAATTGCTGCAGTATCATTTGTTAAAAAGACTATCCTTCCATTGAAATGCTTTTGGAACTTCAAAAAAATCAATTGGAAATAATTATTTTTGTTGCAGTTTGTGTCCTTGTATTTTGTTGAGGATTTTTGCATCTATATTCCTGTTGGACATCAGACTGTCGTTTTTCTTGTGAATTCTTTGTCTAGTTTGGGTATCAGTAACTTAACTGGTCTCATTGAATGGGTTAGGCAGTGTTTCTTTCCTTTTCTTTTATTTTCTGGAAGAGTTTTTTGAAGGATTTTTGTTAATTATTTAAATGTTTTATAGAATTCACCAGCGAAGGCATATGGTCCTGGGCTTTTCTTTGTGGGAAGTTTTTATTACATATACTTGTTATAGTTCTATTCAGATTTTCTTCTTCAGTCAATTTCAATAGTTTGTGTCTTTCTAGGAATTTGTCCATTTTATCTAGGCTATCTAATTTCTTTGCATATTTTTGTCAGTGGTGTTCCCTTAAAATGCTTTTTATTTCTGTCAGGTCAGCAGTGAGGTCTTCTCTTTCATTTCTCATTTTAGTATGAACCATCTTTCTCTTTGTCAGTCAAGCTGAAGGTTTGTCAATTTTGTTTATCTTTTGAAAAACCATGTTTTGTTTTTATAAACATTTTCTATTTCTCTGTTCATTTCTTTCTTTTTTCTCTTTCTTTCTTCCTTTTCTTCCCTGTCTTTCCTCCCTCCCTTTCTTTCTTTCTTTACTTTCTCTCTTTCTTCCCTTTCTTTACAGGGTCTTGCTTTGTCACCCCAGGTAGAGTGCTGTGGCATCATCATAGCTCACGGCAACCTCAAACTCCTGGGCTCAAGCAATCCTCCTGCCTCAGCCTTCCGAGTAGCTGAGACTACAGGCATGCGCCATGCCCGGCTAGTCTTGCTACCTTTTTATTTATTTATTTATTTTGTAGAGACAAGGATCTTGTTGCTCAGGCTAGTCTCGAACTCCTGAGCTCAAGCAATCCTCCCTCCTCGATCTCCCAGAGTGCTAGGATTACTGATGTGAGCCACCACTTCCGGTCATTTTCTTCATTTATTTCTACTCTCATCTTTATTATTTGCTTCCTTCTGCTTGCTCTGTTTGGTCTCCTTTTTCTAGTTTTCCAAGGTGAAAAGTTAGGCTATTGGTTATAGATCTTTCTTCTTTGTCTGTTTAGAGCAATAAATTTCCTTCTAAGCATGGCTGGGCAGTATCTCATAAGTTTTGGTAGATTGCGTTTTTGTTTTGATTCTTCTCAAAGTATTTTTTCAATTTCCCTTCTGATTTCTTCTTTGACATATTAGTTATGTTGGAGTATGTTGTTTAATTTCCATATATTTGTGTGAATTTCCCTAATTTCTGTTATTGCTTTCTAATTGTGATCAGAGAGCATACTTTGTTTGATTTTAATTCTTTTAAATCTATTAAGACTTGTTTCATGGAATATCAGATGGTCTATCCAGGAGAATGTTCCCAGTGCATTTGAGAAGCAATCCGCTGTTGTTGGGTGGAATGTTCTCTGTATGTCACTTAGATCCTGATAGTTGTTTGTGTCAGTTAGTTCTTCTATATCCTTGCTGATTTTTTTTGGTCTACTAGTCCAATTAATTGCTGACAATAGGGTATTGAATTCCCCAACTATAATTGTGAATTTATTTCTCCTTTAACCTCTATAAGTTTTTGCTTCATATATTTTGAGTTTCTGTTTTTTGGTACATCCAAATTTGGGATCACAGTGTCTTCCTGGTGGATTGATTCTCTTACCATTGGGTTATGTCCCTTTTTTTATCTAGTAATTTCCTGGCTGGGACACCTCCTTTATCTGATATTAATGTAAAGACTCCTGCTTTCTAATTTTTTGGATTAATGTTCAAATGCACATTTAGACACCAGAATTATTAATAGAAAGTTATTATTTCTTAAGGTCAAGTACCATATCAGTGAACTTTCCCTATTCATTTCCACTGAACCACATTGGACTCTTTTACCATACGAATGGATCTTTTATCCAGTCAGATTTGGTAACATCCTGTATAGGTGGTATGGAAAATATTGGTGTCCTGAGTTGTTTCGAGCTTCCAAATGATGACACCTTTCCTTATGCAATATTCAAATGTCACATTTGTTAATATCACCACCAGTCTGACGGGAAGAGTCTTTATGTATTGGGAAGCCGTCAGGCTCATGGTGCTGGATACACATTTTTCAAAGTTCTAATTTTTTTTAGAGCTCAAATTTTCTTACTGTCAAATACTGTCAGTTGACTT